TGAGGGGGATTGGTCCCCCTAATCTCCACTAGTTCAAGGGTCAACTGTATATAGTGTGTATATGATTTTTTAAAGATTTTTTTTATTGGAGACTCGGGGGAAGGAAACAGATAAGTTGCTGTCCTTTTGTTCTTCAGTCTAGTTGTGGAGGACGTTGCTTCACTGGTCCAAGTTGGCACCATCATTGCACTCTTCCCGGGTGAGGCAGATCAGTCGCCGGCTTCTGGACGGCCGCTCACGGTGGCTGCTGGCCACTCACACTGGCTGCTGGCTACACACGGTAGCTTATGGCAGCCCACTGCCACAGGGGCTGCAGCCTATGCTGTCGCCGGCGACTCACGGCAGCCCAGCTCCAGGTTGAGCTGTTGTTCAGCATCTTAGCTGTGGAGGGCAGTGTCACTGGCCCTCATATGTGGGATCCAAACCGGGGCTCTCTGGCATCCCAAGCCAGCTCTTAACCATCGCGCCACTCAGCCAGCCCTGATTTTAATGTATATATGAAATGATATAGTTTAGGGTGAGGCCAAGTAACAAAAACAATTATTTTCAGGAACGTTATTAAACATGTAATAATAAAGAAGGGTGCAGATATGGGAGAAATTGTGAAGGTGGAGCATGATTGACTTGTGTTTGAGAAACACCAAATAATTACATATGGTCCTCATTATCACCTTATGGGGTAGGTAATACTATTGTTATTTTATTCCTGAGAACACTGGAACATGGCAAGGTTAAAAACTTGCCATAAGTGTCTCAGTGACATGTTAAGCCAGTATAGAAGTGTTAAGCTATCTGTGATCTTAACCTTGAATTATGTACTTTATGGGTAAAATGTTTTAGGTTGCATCATTTGAAGTTACTGATATTTGAGTGTTTCATTCCATGGAAATGACAATTTCATATGATTCAACTGAAAACACTATTAAAATGAGAAAGAAATTCCATATTTCCAAGTAACATTCTGAAGATGCAAATAAATTAGGGAGATTTAAATAAAATAAAAATAAAATAAAATAAAAAATTAGGGAGATTTAAAAAATAAAAACCTACCACCGATAGGCAAGAAAAGAGTTTACAATTTTCTTAGTTTCATTTTACGATTTTCAGGTACAGTAATACCTTGGTTTATGAGCATAATTTGTTCCAGAAATAAACTACTCGTATTGCAAGACAACACTCATTTACCAAGTTAAAATGTATTATTAGGTTGGTGCAAAAGTAATTGCGAAATTACTTTTGCACCAACCTAGTAGAAAAGTTTGCTCGTCTTGCGGAACACTCACAAGCCAAGTTACTCGCAATCCAAGGTTTTACTGTAGTCATCTAGAAAGGAACAGAAAAGCAAAAGGAGGACGGAGCATAAATATACATCCAGCAAGAGAGAGGAGGCAGTGGAACTGGAGTAAAATAGCTCAGGACAGGAGATGGTCCTGACAAAATGTCGAGGCAGAAGCATGTGCGGATATGATAGTATAGGAACTGCTGCAGCCAACTTCCAGTTGTAAAATCACCTGAGGACAAAGGGAGGCTAGCAAAACTGATAAACTAAAAGAAGCTGGGACTTGGATGGCGCAATAGAGTCACAAACTTAATGGTCTCTAGAATCACCCCACCTGTGGATTTATTGTAATATAAGATAATGGGCATCCTTATGGTTTTCATCAGTGCTTCTCAAGCTTTAATGTGCATGCAAATCACATGAGGAATATGTATAATATGGATGCTAAGTCAGTAGGACTGGGGAGGGGCCTGTGAGTCTTCATTTTTAACACGTGCTGGGGATGCTAGTGCTGCTGGTTCATCGATCACACTTTATGAAGCAATGGTATGAACCACTTTGAGTTGGGTTATTTGTCAGTTGCAGTGAAAGGCAACCTAAGGATTACCATTTTTCCAGTAATTTTATAGGACATCTGTCTCTCACTCCGCACCTCACTGTGAGAAAATATCTCCATGAACATGAAGGAAATCAATGTGGAAATAGGATTTGTGTTACAGAGACTGTTAGAACATGGGAGGGCATTTATTTTCTAAATAAATACGAAATCCTCGTAGATAGTCTCAAGAGTGGTCAGGTCTAAAGTTTGCAGGTAGTGTCTCAGGTTTTTTAAGTATTGGCAACAATTTCAATTTATTTTCCATTAATATGAAACCAACTCAGGCATATAGACTACTGTTTTCCAATATCTGGTCATGGCCTATGGTAAGGAAAAGAAATATTTACACAGTTAAAACATATCTTCTCAGAACCCTTTCCACAAAGATAATATATCTTTCATGCTGATTGGTGTCACCCCACTGCCGCACTTGTATGTTTCTGTTTTCAAACTTATTCTGAGGTTTAACTCAGGCTTCAAACATGTGAAATCCCTGACTTTTGGAGCCTCAAATCAGAGCCCATTCTTAAGGAATTGATGCTCATACTTCTCTCTGTAAGTGGAGGTGAAATCAGGATGAGAATGTAATGGTCCCATGTCAGAATAGCTCCTAATAACTCCTTTCCTTACCTCATAGACTCAATTCAGCTACTCTCATTCAGACCATGTTCACAGTTATAGTTTAATTAACTAATGACCCAGTGAGCTCTCTGTTATCTCTGGCTCCTGTTCCCAGAATGTAAGCTCTGTGATGATAAAGGGCTATTTGGGTCTTTCTCACCTTTCCATCCATAATATCTAACTACTCAACAATTGAACATTTAATAAACATATGATTCAGTTATCCAAGTCTCAACTCTCAGGCTACGTGTTCTATAATGACAGCATCCCCGGTGACCCCAGGTCAAGTGGGAGTTCTTTCTGTGTACCCTCTGACATGTAATTATAAATCTAATTATAATGATTATTTTGGTAATAATTGTAATTGTTGATGTGTCTATTTCTCTAAAAGTCTCTAAGCTATTTGAAAATGTGGATAAGTATTTTCTTTTTTCCATTCCTAACAAATAGTTTCCAGTATAGATATGGAACTCGGTGAGCATTTGTTGGATGAAATATCTATTCAAACGTAAAAAACAAAGTAAATAATGTTTTTTAAATGAAATGTGTTATTAACTAACAAATAAGTGTTAGACTTAAAATACTTCTTTAAGTGTAAGTAATAATGTGGGTTTTTTTCCCTTCAGTTTTTGAAATGTAAGATTTTTAGCTTAATGTCATGACAAACCAGGCAGGAAAAACAACATATACAAGGAATGATACTGCATCCAGTTTTTATGCAATCTTAGGTCAGTTCTCAGGGGATAGACTGAACCAAGAAAGTGGAAGATTTATATTCCATATTTCCCCATGTATAAGAAGCTCCCATGTATAAGACACACCTTAATTGTGGGGCCTGAAATTTGAAAAAAAATTATTACATGAAGTTATTGAACTCAAGTTTTATTCATCATAAAATTCATACAACTCCTCATCACTTGTGGGAAATGCAAGTAAAAAAATCTACAACCACTGTATAAGACACACCCAGTTATTAGATCCCCATTTTTTCGAAAAAGGGTGCATCTTATACATGGGGAAATACGGTACCTTGCAGTGCTGGGATGGTATTCATTGTCTAAGAGGCTTAAATGAGCAACTTTCAATTTTTGCTTCCACTTAAATAAATTCTTCATCTATATTGCTTGCCATCAAAAGATGTATACATTTCCCATTTGATAAATGAAAGCTCATTCCCATAGACTTCTGACTGTCGTGTCTTTCAGGGGACATGTGGCTCTGAAATGTGAAAGGTCAATAATGGTGTAATCTAAATATTTTAAGCACTCAGTTTCGTGTGTATTTTGTGTGTTTAAATGTGCTGACTAATGGAAATTTCTGATCAAGATTTTGTAAATCACAGTAGTAAATTCCTAATAGAAATGATGTCCTCCTTATCAGTATTACAAGATCAGTATACTGTAGTTTCCCAAAATGCTTTAAATATGCCTTCATAAAGAGTATTTATCTTAAAATAGGTACTATCACTTCTCATTTGAGTCCCAAATTTTTGTTGAATGAATTAATGAAAAGCCTCAATTTTAATTTTCATCCTTACCATGAAGTTGTGTGATTAATTGGCAGGATATTATCCCATGTCCCTGATGCTGGAGTTCTAACTGAGAAAGTATAAGAACTTGGTTCTAGGGCTTTGAACCAAAGTCTTTGGGCTTTAAATCCATTATCCAGCCCACTATTGTGTATATCTTTGAAAAAAAATTCTTTCTCTTATCTCTTTTGACATAGAAAATAATTCCAAAACTTAGTTACTGAACACCCAATTTATAATTATGTCATGGTTCCGTAGATCAGGAATACGGGCAGCGTTCATCTAGGTTTTTGTTCTGCAATTGTGACATGGCTGGGTCATTGGGCTGTACTCAGCAGGAAACTCAACTTCTAAGATAGTGTTTCATCCTCCAGAGTCACGTTCAACATGGTCTCTAATCATTCAGTGGTATAGCCTGGCTTTCCTGAGAGCCTGGCAGCTGGGATCCAAGAAGTATAAATGCTGTCTGCTCTCTTACAGCCTGCATTCGCACGTGGTGCATCATCACTGTTGCCATGTTCTATTTGCCAAAGTAAACTGTGAGGCCAGTTCATATTCATGAGGATGGGACGTAAACTCCATCTCTTGATAGGAAGAATGACAAAGAGTTTGTGGCCATCTTTAATCACCACACGTATTAAAACAATGAAAATATAAAAAAATGATTGTCAAGATATATTACTAGCTCACTTACCAGAAATGGCTTGCACTTTACTCAACATGTTCATATTTAGTTATCTATGGGAAACTTTCTAAAAATTGGGATGCGTGAACTCTAAAAAGTCAGAGGAAGAATAATGTCAGATGGCTGATCATGGGCTCTACTTACCTTCCTTCTCAATGTCTAAGAGATGCAAAACAATGTGACATGACATAAATTACAAATGTCAACACTTTAACCTAGTTATAGATTTAATAATAGTAAGTAAAGTTGCTTTGATAGAGGTAATAATAGACATCTTTCAAATTTTCAGTTTACATAAAGTTTTAATGGATCTCCAGAATCAGCAACTGAAAGAGTTAAATGATTGGCTAACAGAAACAGAAGCGAGAACAAGGAAAATGGAGAAAGAGCCTCTTGGACCTGATCTTGAGGACCTAAAACGCCAAGTACAACAACATAAGGTTAGTATATGTTACACTATTTGCTTTCTACTGGAAAACTCTGTGTATATGTGTATCATATACACACGTACGAACACACATCATGGTTTACAGGTAGGAAAGAATTAAAGCTTCAGTAAAGAAGAGTTTCAAATCATTTTTGTCTAATGTTTTGTTTTTTTTTTAGTTGGGGAATTGGGGGGATGGGAACAGTGCTGGGGAATTGGGGGAAGGGGAACAGACAAGTTTCCGTCGGTTTTGTTCTTCAGTCTAGTTGTGGAGGATGTTGCTTCACTGGCCCAAGTTGGCACCATCATTGCGCTCTTCCCGGGCAAGGCAGATCAGTTGCTGGCTTCTGGACGGCCACTCACTGCGGCTGCTGGCCGCTTACGCTGGCTGCTGGCTACACACGGTAGCCCATGGCAACCCGCTGTCACAGGGGCTGCAGCCTACAGCAGCCCAGCTGCAGGTTGAACTGTTGTTCAGCATCTTAGCTGTGGAGGGCAGTGTCACTGCCCCTCATATGTGGGATCCGAACTGGGGCCCTCTGGTGTCCCAAGCCAGTTCTTAACCATCACGCCACTTGGCCGGCCCTGTCTAACGGTTTTTGAAATGTTTATTTTTTGATATACAACATAATTAGGCTTTTCATATTTGAGAAGAAAATTCAGATATATTTCTGGAAGAGAACAGTGTGGGTATGTGATTTTTAAAGTTTTGATTTCCTGGAAGAGAGTCTGCAGGGATTACCTGTGATGCAAATTTAAGTAAAATGACAAGATTAAAAAAAAAAGTGTTTTTACCTTCAATTCATAATGTCTTGGAGTAGGCCAAGTGTGATGAAAAATGAACATCTGTAATATTACTTTCCTATAAAACACAACATCTATTAATTTGTTTTATTAGTTTCAGGTGTACAAAACAACATAGTGATTAGACATTTACACCCCTCACAAAGTGATAACCACAAGTCTACTACACATCTGACACCATACATGGCTATTACAACACCATTGACTGTATTCCCTATGCTGTACTTTACATTTTGTGACTATATATGTGTATACTTTTAATTATAGTTGACATTCAGTATTATTTTATATTAGCTTCAGGTGTACAGCATAGTTGTTAGGCAATTATATAATTTATGAAGTGATCCCCTGATAAGTCTAGTACCTATCTGACACTATACACAGTTTTTTGTATTATTTGCATTTTGTATTTGTATAGTCAACAAATATTATTGACTATATTTCTCATAGTATAATTTTAATATTTCCGTCTTATCTTTCTTCAGTTTATTTGTATATTTACAATTATGCTCCCTGGTTGCCAGAAAGAATTTATTGTTTCTGTACTTAGGATTTCTGCAAAAATATTTCTGATCTGTAATTTTAAGGATACTTCATTCTAATAACTGTTATAAAACTAGCTCTGGGCATTGCCTAGTCCATCAGGACACACACACACACACACACACACACACACACACACACACACACACAGAAGAACCTTCATGATTGGCCTGCAATTAAGGTTTAGCAAATAAAAATCTAAGAAGTGTAATTAAATTTGAATTTCAGATAAATATTTTTATAGTGTAAATATGTCCCAAATTACTTATTATTTTATCTGAGGTTCAAAGTTTACTGGGCATCCTGGATTTTATCTGACAGCTCTACTCAGGATGTATGGTTCTTGGATTTATGTCTTTGAGAGGAAATATCTGCTCTCTGAATTCATACTTCTTAAACTGCATCCCTCCCCCTTAACTGTATTCTCTTATTTTATAACATTCTGTCGGAGCTTCACAGTTTTGTGTGGATAAAATATCTTTCTAAGTCCTGAGTTCTTTTTGTATTTAATGAGCTTTTGGTTTCATTGACAAATGAGACTGGCCCTTGCTATTACTGCCCTTAAAGCTGTCCTTTGTCCACAGAAGTTTAAGATCAAGCCATTTTAAGAAGAGCTATAGCTATGGTAATCCTCATCCACTACTCTACCAGGAAAAAAAAATAATAAGGCACCCACTGTATTTTAATTTTCATTAAAAATTTTGACTAGGAGAAGCTAACTTGTCACATAGATTTTAATTGAACATCTGATAAAGAAGTTAGATCCACTGCTATTGGGTCTTCGGAAAAGTCATGATGCATGTTTCCAACAGATGGCACTAGTTCATTTTTGGAAGCACTAGAGTCATTCGCATCTATGTTATTGCTGTGTCATTTGACAGCTGACAGTTCTAGCTTCATTTTAAAAAAAATTGAGCCATTTGGTTGTGTTTTGAAGATTTTACAAGTTGAAGATGGAAGATCAAACTGTGCATTTTTGCCATATTTTACTGTTTTACTTCCATAAAGGGAAGAACGCATGTCAAGCCTGTGAAAAGTTTCATAAAGTTAATGGTGACAGTGCTCTACAAGAATGTCATTGCCAACGATGGTTCACAAAATTCTGTACTGGTGATTTTGATCTCAACGACGCTCCTTGGTCAGGGAGGTCCACCGAGTTTGATGATGACAAAATAAAGGCATTGATCGAGTCAAATGCACGTTACATGACATGAGAGATTGCAGAAACATTGAACATCCATCATTCAATCATTCATGACCACCTGAAGAAGCTGGGATATGTAAACAAGCTTGATATTTAGGTTCCACATGAACTCAAAGATGTTCATTTGATGGTACATATAAACATCTGCAATATGCTCATTGAATGTGAGGAAAACGATCCTTTTTTGAAGTGACTGATAACTGGTGATGAGAAGTGGATTGTTAACAACAATGTGGTTTGCAAATGGTCTTGATCCCGACATGATTATTCGCCTCAAACGACATTGAAAGCACACATTCATCAGAGGAAGGTTATGCCCTCAGTGTGGTGGGATTTTAAAGGTGTTGTGTTTTTCGAGCTCCTACCAAGGAACCAAACAATCAATTCGAATGTGTACTGTTGGCAATTGGACAGTTGGAACGAATCCATCATCCGGAAACGTCCAGAGCCTGTTAATTGTAAAGGAGTTGTGTTCCATCGCGACAACGCGAGACCACACACAAGTTGTATCACCTGTCAAAAATTCTTGGAGCTTGGATGGGATGTGTTACCACACCCACCATACTCGCCTGACCTTGCACTGTCAGACTTCCACTTGTTTCGCTCTCTTCAAAACTACTTGCGTGGTATAACGTTCAATTCAGATGAAGCTATAAATCAGCACCTTGTTCAGTTTTTCCTCAAATAAAGAGAGGTCCTTCTATGAACGAGGAATTATGAAGCTCACTGAAAGATGGCAAAAGGTTATAGAACAAAACGAGCAATATATCATTGATTGATCTTTGTTCTTTATATAAATGACCTTTGAAAAACATAGACAAAATACGTCATGACTTTTTTGACAGCCCAATAATACTTGATACTAAAGTAGCCAGAAGCTCATTTTGAAAATCTTATGAATAAACTTATGAAAACTGAGCAGATTTGGAAAACAATTAACACACATTTATGTTCCTTTTCAAATTCTGTTTCTGTGAACCTTCTACAGCTTCCTGTACATGTTCAGTTTTGTATTTCAGCCTCCTCTTT